AATATGTTACGTGTTATCGTAATGTATTATTCGCATATCTAATTAAAAAACTATTTGCTATGCATATGCAACAGATCTTGCATTGTTTTGTATCTTCATTAAAACCAAATGTTTGACTCTATCATATTTGAAGTAGCGTGGAAAATCTATATTTATATAATCCACAGACCAATTCATTTTGTACTTTTCTACGCAACGTAAAAATTCTTCGTACATCGGGGCAGTGGTGTCCAAGTCGGCGACAGTAAAGACATATCTTTTCTCAAGAGCGACGTAAATTGTTTTTTTCTTCTTCGTGTGTAGAAGTTTCATCAATGTGCGGACAAAACCGTCTGTGATTTTGTCATCGTAGATCACTACAAATCCAAAAAGAATAACAATAATACGATTGTTTCTCATCTCTATTTTACACTTGTTAAAATATAGAATTACTAAGTTTACCGTCCGCAGCCAATACAACATTTGCGCTTTGCAATCTCTCTTCCAACTTTTTCGACCATTGTAAGTTTAAAAAATTTACTTCCTCGATGCGATAATTCGATCTAACGTACGTATGATTCCTCAGAAAATTTCGTTCAATCAGATTCAATATACCACCCACGTTGATGTCTGGAATATTCGGATAAATAAGATTGAAGTTCTCAACGGGGGGACGGGAGGGCTTTGAGTATTTGCATTACCGGTGCAAATGACTTCTTTAGCTAGGTAACTCGCCACGATGCTGGTCAGACCGACTCCAGATCCTAATTCTAGAATTATTTGATTTCTAAACGAGTCTGGATGCGACAGGATGTAGTCGGCTAACAAGAGAGAGGCTCTCCACACTTGTAATCCGACCAAACTGAGCTCTGTAGATACGCTATGCTCTGTAAATGCAATTCACTGAATATATGTATATACAAGTATACATGATAATTAATTCTATACCTATTAGAATTACTCCTTCTCTGTCTCTATCTACATCTAGGTCATCGTCACTGTCGTAATTTAGCGTCCCGGCTGTAAATTCTGCCTCGATCATATAAGACGGACATTTAAAAACGAATTTAGTTACCGCATCTAAAACCAATTGCTGTACGTTAAGATATGCATTAAACGTTACCTGCAAGTCCAAAATATTATTCGCTAAACACGACTTACTGCCACTGCCAAGCTTCTCAGAGATACGATCGTTTTCCGTGTATATCTCCGACGTTACTTTATGCATCTTAGATAAAAAGATATTATTAATAAACGTATTCTTTTTAAACTGATATGTTTAGTATTATGTAATTATTAATGATCCGTATTTTACGGGTTATTAACATAAATTATTGTACAGTTTTTTATTTATTATAATATTTAATATATATTATACAAGTTATAATGATGTAAAGCTCATTACATTTCACTTGTAACATGCTAATTCGTTTTTAATCATATATTTATATATATATATATATATATATTAATAATAAAGACTCGATAAAACACTACGTAACGTCTCGAGTCGCGCGTCGAAAATTAACTCGCGTAAATAAATCAAGGATCAACTTCGTACCACGACGCCCGTCAAACGATAATGAAGCTCGTCGCGACCGACCAATATTACAGCCTCGTGACTGCATTTATTTCGGGAATTTGTGTCTTAACACGACAATTACATAATCCATAATCCCTGTGCCATCGCGTTGCCCTGTATTATTACTGTATTGAGTAATCTACGTTGAATCTTCAGACTTAATAATTTAAGTATATACAAACGGCATACAATTATGTCGTTTAAAAAACTGCTAAAAAATTTGTAATAATTCTTTGATTGTATAAATTCCTTGATTGTATAAATGCTATTATTCAGAGATTCAAGAAGAATATGCATTTTATGGTCATGATAATAACAAATATTCATACAAAAATAAAATTTTGAAAGGCAATTTAAATTTTGATGCATTGATGCCTTTATCGTTGCACTTTTCTCATACTTATCTAATAAGCAAATTGCCCACATGACAGATTGGCAGCAGATTTAACTCAAATATTAAAACTGATAACTGATCCAGTATATATCATCATATGTTTGCATTAAACTTGTGTTTTGCCGACAGAGTCCGCCAATATAATCTGACAGCAGATTGTCGGTAGGAACCGAACAGAATCCGTCATTTCGTAAACATTAAAAAAATGGTTACGAAACGGCAGATTCTGTCCAGTTTCTACAGCCAATCTGTCATTATATTCTACTACCTAGCAGATTCTGTATTATTTCTGCTGACAATCTATCGACAAAATTTGCAGCAGATGCTCTCGAAATCTCAATAGATTTGGTCGTCCGAATTAATTACTCTCATTTCAAAAATACGTAACGTTTGAATCTCAATGTGTACTTTTGAATTATATAAAATATAAAAATAAATAAAAAATACTAATCGCGCTTTTCTATGGATCTATTGAGAGCGGCTTAATCGTTACACCTTGGCTCTTGTTTCGAGCGGATAATCGTCGCGCCGTTTCCTCTTGGTGCGCGCTCTCTTCGCGGCATTCTCGTCAGCTGTGCTTGTCATTTTGCCATTACTTCAACCAGTTCAACCGCACAGAGGTTGCGGTTATGAACTCTCAATCTGGCCGAATTGAGATCGAAGTCATTTGAATTTAATCCGCTGATCTCTGTGACGTCGACAAATCTCGCGGTGACTCCGTCACCGTGCTCGTTCGTCTCTCCTGGGACTTGCTCCTGTTCTCGATCGCATCGTTAAATCGCCTCACTGCACGTCGCCATTGCGACTCCAATAACGCCACGTGACTTTTGACAACCAAGCACAATCGGCAAAGTCGCGCGACTCGCCGTAGTCGCCGTGTGGATAAAAATGTAACAACATCGACGTGTTTCGTAAGATTATATGTCCAATACGAATTGTTATATAGGTATCTAGAACAAAAAGGTAGAAAAAGTCGCCAGGATGAAAAACTGTTATACATTGAAAAAAATCTGTTGTACAAAATTGTTTATATTGAATCAAAAATATGTATAAAATAATTGTGCATTGGAACATAAATGGTATTTCCGTAGTTTAATACTACATATTTACGCGAGCGTTATTTCTGTAATATATTATAAAAATCGAACCCCCCGGCTCTTTATCCCGCTCAAACGTCAATCCGTCAAGGTCGAGTATACTTTCGCGCTGATCAGCCTGATCATCGAACGGTAATTCGCGGCGATGACCGCGATCGAATTCGAGGAACACGTCAATCAACTCCGCGAGCGAAACCCGATGACGGGCCAATCCTAGATCCGTCGACGCCGCGTGTCGCCTCGCGATTCCACGCGAGCTTTTATCTTTCCACCGAATATAACCAGGAAGCAGCCGAAGGCTTCGGCATCAGCGACGGCAGCGCGACGGTGGGTAACGCACCGTCCCGCCGGTCGCGCCGGAGACGGCGACGGCGGACGATGGACGCGCGGGTGGCCGCGGCCGGAGGAGTCCAGCCAATCAGCGATCCCCACGATGAGGACGATGCCACGCGTATGAGGTCCGCGAGCCAACGCGAGCCTACAAGCCCGCCGACGCAGCGTCGCGTCCGCTCATTCATCGCGCGTACTCCTCGTGGACGGTGTGTGTGTCTTCCCGCTTCTCCCGTCCTCGTCCCGTCGACGTCTTCGTCCTAGCCGAGGTAGGCCGCGCTTTCAACCCGCAGGGAACGCCAAGGGAAAAGAGGAAAAAGAGATCCAGAGATAGACGGGGATAAAAAAAGAGAGAGAGAGAGAGTGAGGTATATCCCGATCAGCATGAGATTCGTCGGTGGATTCTGTTTGGCGGCACTCTGCCTGGCCGCGACCTCCCTCGCCAAGGTCGAGACCGAGGACGGGGTCCTCGTGGTCACCAAGGACAACTTCGAGAGCGTCGTCCAGGACAACGACTACGTGCTCCTCGAGTTCTGTGAGTATACACCGCTCCGTTTCCCTTTTTCCGCTCCTGCGGAGCGCGAGTCCTCCCCGTCTCGGTGACCCTGCGTGTGTATCTGTTGCTCTTCTGGAGAGCTGCACCCTCGCGCCTGCACTCTCTGTACCCGGCCGCGACGCGACCCGACGACCCTCGAAGACCGAGGAAAGGGTTTCGTGGGTCGCGACCCGTGGGTGGGACTCCGTTCGGAGGGCTCCGTTTTGTCGCGGGCGCGCGCCCGCTCGTTCGCCGGCTTCGCCAGATGCGAGGCTCCGTTACACGTCATCACTCCGAGCATCCTCGAGAGGGAGAGAGGACGATAACGGGAGGCCGGTTGGGCACGCTGGGGTCCGGGGTCGTGACTTTTCGGCGATCGCCCGGCCGAGACACATTCCGTCGGGTTTTTTTTCCGTGAATCCCCTCCCTCCCTTCCTCCGCTACTCTCTTTCTCTGAATAATGAAGGAATCTGTGCGCCGGACGTGCGACGGCCACGGAAAAAAGGTGCAAAAAGCGTCCGGAGAAGATCCATATTTGGACGTCCTTTCTTTTTTTTTTCGGAGCGTCCGAGACGTTCGTCTATGTATTGATATCTATTTATTTCGACCTTCGGCCGCCCACACGCGATCTTCTCGAATTGTTTCTTACATTCTTACATCTTTCTCTAATTTTTCTATGGGCCTCCTCCTCTTTCCACGCGTTCGTCTCGCTCGTGGTTGGGCAGAAAGTGCAGAGGAGTGCAGCTGCGAAGATAAGACCGCTCTCGCTTCTTGGCGTATTTTTTTTACCGTTATACGCGTCGTGTAAACTGCAATCGCCCCGGTGATTGCGGGATCGAGCGTAGCGTCACGTCATGACTCTAGGATGATGATAATGACGATGACGACGTCGGCGCAGCATCCATAAATGATACAGATTGTAGTCGACGTGTACGGATTAGAGGACAGAATTAATCACGTTCTTCTTTTATCGGAATCGAAATTCGATACGTCGATTATCAATTTTAGATCGCTATCTGCCGCCTATCTGTCGACTTTGAGACGCATGAGCGACCATATGGTATCTTAATACTCTGACGTTACTGAATAAATTTTCTAAATATCTCAAATGTTAAGTATTTGAATTTTTGAAATACCGCATTACGGTTTTCTGACGTTCCTCCTTTTTCCTAATTTTTTTTTGTATCAAATTAAATGGCTCCGACTCCATAGAGCTCAGTAAATTTTATTTTCTGATACAAAATTGCAATGCCTTATAGATCTAGCTGTAGGTTAATCAAAAATTGTAAATTTGAAAGATTACTAAAGAGTTCAGTCGTGAAAGAGACAAAAGTATTACAGTCGATCACGTTTTTGCTAAAATTGCAATGCCTTATAGATCTAGCTGTAGATTAATCAAAAATTGTAAATTTGAAAGATTACTAAAGAATTCAGTCGTGAAAGAGACAAAAGTATTACAGTCGATCACGTTTTTGCTAAGAGATGATTATCTTATCGTGCTAGCGAGTAGTAGTATCGAGCTGCGATAAATTACATTATATTTCCTCGTTGTAGATGCTCCTTGGTGCGGACACTGCAAAGCATTGGCGCCCGAGTACGCTAAGGCGGCAAAGAAATTGGAGGAGGCTAACTCGCCGATCAAACTGGGCAAGATAGATGCGACAATCGAGACGGAACTCACTGAGAAACACCTAGTGAGGGGATATCCCACTCTCAAGTTTTACCGTAAAGGAGCCCAGGTCGACTATACCGGTGGTCGTCAGGCCGACGAGATTGTAAATTGGCTGCTCAAGAAGACTGGCCCGCCTGCCAAAGACCTGCCCACGGTTGATGAAGCCAAGGCGTTCATCGACGCGCATAAAGTCACCATTGTTGGATTCTTTAAGGTACGAAATCAAAATCATCCTCTTTACATTCCCTTGACTTATGTGGGATAATCTATCATTTTTTGTTTACTACCTCTGGATCTCTTGTATTTTAAACCTATTGTAATAACCAGAAGTAATCTTGTTGCAACAGCTTATCTGTTTATATAAATATGTAACGACTTTATTAGGATGTGGAAAGTGATGCCGCCAAGGTGTTCTTGGAAGTTGGCAGCACGGTGGACGATCATGTGTTTGGTATTACAAGCGCCGACGAAGTCTTTAGCGAACACGGAATTGAAGATGGAAAGATCGTGCTGTTTAAGAAGGTACGTCTGTATAGTATAAGAACGGGAACAATTATGGATCAAATTAATATCTCTTTTGGAAGCGCGATTTCAAATTTAATTAATCTCTATTCTTTATAGTTTGATGAAGGTAAAGCTGTCTTTGATGGAGAGCTTACGCCCGTAGCCTTGCAGAACTTTATCTCCGTACATTCGTTACCTCTGGTTGTTGAATTCAACCAGGACACGGCACAGAAGATCTTCAGCGGAGACATCAAGAGCCACTTGTTGGTGTTCCTCAGTAAAGAGGCCGGTCACTTTGAGAAATACGTCGAAGGTATTCACGAGCCGGCGAAGAAATACCGTGGCGAGGTACGGAAGTTTAGGCGTCACTTATCTTGCTGCATCATTTCAGAAAGGAATGGATATAATGCTTTAAAATGTTCCATGCGCAGGTCCTGTTTGTGACAATCGATTGTGATGAGACCGATCACGAACGTATCCTGGAATTCTTCGGTTTGAAGAGAGAGGATGTGCCCGCTATGCGGCTTATCAAGCTCGAACAAGACATGGCTAAGTACAAGCCCGAAAATCCAGAGTTGACCACCGAGAATGTCCTAGCATTTGTTACCGCTTTCATGGAGGGCCAATTGAAGAGACACCTGCTTACGCAAGACTTGCCAGAGGACTGGGATAAGAGCCCGGTGAAGGTTCTTGTCGGCACCAACTTCCACGAAATTGCCCATGATAAGGAAAAGGATGTTTTCGTTGAATTCTACGCACCTTGGTGTGGTCATTGTCAGCAGTTAGCGCCCATTTACGAGAAGGTACGTTTCCTTTTCGTTGGAATTTATTCCTAATGACATAGGTAAACGAAAGCAGTTTCGTTAATCGAACATAATTTCAGCTCGGCGAAAAATACAAGGACAACGACAAGTTGGTCATCGCGAAGATGGATGCCACTGCTAACGAGTTGGAGGACATAAAGATCAGCAACTTCCCCACGCTCATACTCTACAAGAAGGGGACGAATGAAGTACGAACCTTTTTTACGTTCATCCAATTTATATTACCATATTTACAGTATGTTTAAAATGCGCTCATTTCAATTTTGCTCTAGGGTGTGGAATATAACGGTGAGAGGACACTCGAAGGTCTTTCCCAATTCATTGAAAGCGGTGGGTCGTACGGCGAAGCTGCAGAAGAGGTATGTTAAGCGATTGTTTTTAAGCGCAAAAAAGGATAATACAAACACTTTGGACTGAAAGATAGTAAATTGCAGTAATATCTTTTAGATTTTTTTTAATGATATGAATATAATCTTATATTGCAACTATGCTGTATTATTTATTTCGTTACAGGCTCGGGAAGAGGATGAGGATGATGACGTGCCAAGGAAGGACGAGTTGTAAACGCACATAATCATTATTATAAGAACAAGTAAAATCAACATTGACTCGTCTGTTATATTTCCTGCATCCAGTCAATGAATTCCACAATTTCCCGCTTTACAGAATTATTTAATTTCTTATAAAGATAAAAAAAAGAGAACTCGATGGTGCATCCTCACACACATTTTAGGAATTAAGTTTAGGTAAATGTCGCGGTGTACAATTTGTAATTAAGAATTTGCGTTCGCACTTTTCCATAGGGTTATTGTCACAGCTGATATCAGCTGATATCAAATGGCGTACCTTCGTGATATATAGAATTATTTTATCCTGATGGCCGCATGCAAATTACGTAAACGGAGAATCATAAAAGTTTGCAATGTACTTGAGGCATTTAATGCGCGATAATAATACGAATATATGAATATTTCTATATGATTATGCCATTTGTGTTACGTGCATGTCGACTTGATGTGACTTTCTGCCCTTTGAAAACTGCGGCGCTTTATCGTTCATAGTTTCGCGCTTTTATCACTCCACAATATTGAACGTGGAACGGGAGGGTAAATTATTAATCTAAGAACGTCTCGAAATCACTCTTTATTTTTTTATAAAAGCTATTATTTTGTCGACAGATGTCTAAACGATTTGTTGCTCCTTGCGATGCGCAAGCGGAAGCAAGTCTTCGAGCGCTCTGTGAGAGCTAGTGGTTTATAAACACATTTCCAATTTACAGCATTTAAAACTATCACAACGGGTGATGGTTTTAGATATATATATATATAGTTAGGATAGGCAGCCGTTTCAATGTTCTCCTAGTTTTAATTGACTGAAACTCTAGGAAATTAGCGATGAGGCACATATTGTGAAAAAAGAAAGAAAAGTAAAAATTTATACATATATATATATATATATGTATGTATGTATGTATAATTAAGTCTTTATTATATATATATACATTATTCTTAATATATGAAGATTATATATATTCTATTCTGGCTTATGTCTATTTTTTATCACCATTACTATACGTAAATGTATGCTGTACACTATACATATATATATATATATATATATATATATATATATATGCTGTATATATAAATATAGTTTTTAATATTTTTTCTATACGTGTGAATTATCAAGTGTTCAAGCTCGCGTGTTCAGCTTGTATCCGGCAATCAATTATAATGTGTTTGCACAAAAATGATGTGAGGGTTACACAGCCATTATATCTCACATCATAAACAGGTACTTATGGCTATCTTGTTGCCTGAGGCAATAACTACATTACTTGCGTAATTAACGCTTTGAGTGGCACGGGCAAATGTCTTTTCTCCATTTCATTAATTTCTCATTTTTCTATAACATTTTGTTTGCATTTCTTTTACTAGGATCGCAGACATACGGAAGTAATGGACCGTACATTGAACTTGTCAGGTTTGTACGAACTGTTACATAACACTTTGCTAATCACGGAGGAAGTGAAGGAAATATTGAGACGAGACTGTGACGAAGCAGCATTCGTTTTAAAGCCGTGGCAGGTGAAAACCGTCGTTGAGAAACAAACCGACGGAAGCATCTGTAACTGTAAAAAAGTATGATTCATATTTGTGTTTTTGCTTATAATTTATGTTTTGCCTATGCATAAATTTGTTTTATTTATCGTCAATTAATAGAATGAAGATGAAGCTGAGGAGATCGCCGCGGGGATAGGTAGAGCGATCATTCTGGCGCAAGAGTTGCGGGAAAAATTGAAGTTTAACGTAGCGTCAAAGAAGAAAGTCTCAAGGAAGGACACGGTTGAAAGTATTTATTTATCCAATCCTGCGTCGACTAGCGATCGTAGGAAAGTATCGAAGAACAATATTACAACGAAAAACGTAAATATCGCGAAAAGCCCCGAGTGTAAAAAATCAAGTGCACCTCAAAACGACAAAGTAACTTCCGTCGTGACGAGAAAATCTGTCGGCGGTACAAAGCAGAGTAACGCACTTAATAAAATGCAGTCAAAGGTATCGTCTGCAAAAGTTACAGGAAAGTCAAAGAAAGGAAAAAATTTTATACTGGAAAATAAATTGAACGTTAAAAAGATAAGCTCGACAAATAAATCACAAGTTGGCGATAGTAATTCTAATGATATCTCACAAAATGTACGTAGCAATAATATATGGTACGATAAAATATTGAAAAACTTTGAATGTAACATGGTTTTTTTCGCGCGTTTATATTTCAGTCGAGAAAGTCTCTGTCACCTGAAGCATCAGCTGCTGAATTAAGCGACTTGATACACAAAATGACACGACAATCTACCGAGAGCGCTTCAATTTCTTCTCCTGAGAAGATTAAAAACGATTGTCCATTGCATGGGAATAATTCGCGTCAATCCGTTCAAGAACAGATTGTAGCAATAGATGTAGTGGAAGCGCTCCAGCATTTTAATGTGCCGAATGATGTTGTTAAGGTACTGAGAACTTACCACGCGTTTTTAAAAACTGAAGGAGATAATTTGAACGACACTAAAGAAACTAGATACAAGAAATCGGTCGATACTTTTCTAAAAGAATTTGAAGCGATGGTAAGTAATGTAAATGCAGGGAGAAGGGGCGTGCTCTTGAAATTATGCAAGATCCACTCCTTATATTTATTTCATCTGTTGCAGAATATAGCTATGCAAGATCATATGTTAGAAGATTCTCATTTGCTTAATAAGGCAGCAAAATCGATAACTGCATTTAGTAGCATTTTTAGCGAAGATTTAGATTCGATCCAATCCAATGACATGAAAATCATCACTTCCACCGAGCTGGAAGCCTCGTTCAAACAGCATGATATTAAGAATATTGCAGAACCGATTATAAAAAACCCATCCTGTGATTTTTCCTTATCAAGAGAATGGATGTCGAACGGCGTTTGGAATATTTCCTGTATGGAGCACTTTAAAAGTAATTTCACATTTTACACGTATGTTGACTAGCTTTAAATCTTGATTTAATTTCACTCAATTAATCTCAATTTTGTTGTAGATTTTTCTAAAGCATATAACATAAAGTACTGTAACAAGAAGCAATTATTGTCGCTATACGAAGCTATACAAAAATTGCAGCGCACCAAGTACCTGAATACATTGACCCAAATTGTTTTACGCGACGTGATACCCACCGTAAAATCTAACATCGAGCCTGCGAGCGCGGAGTACGCGCAAGCGTATAAGACAATGTTTATTCTCTATCAAGGTCTAAATCCCGAAGTGCCGGTCTTAGTGAGGACCGATGGCTAAGTTTCACACTATGATATATTCTCTGTTACTATAGTAACCACTGTGTTTGTATTGTCCAATTGATATCCACTTTTCGTGGAGGAATAGACCGGAATTCTGCAGAATGTATTTTTTTTTATAATTTTTAAATAAAATTTTTTATGATATTATTACGCCACGGTAATAACAATCGAAATGTTTTGTGCCATTAAGTATCTCTTAATAAGTGTGGAAAATAAAATTTTAATATCAAACTAAAATTGTAACGCGAGTGCACCCTAGATTTGTTTATTTCCCTACGTTTAATTTAAGTTTTATCTTTGTACACGATGGATGCGGAGTACGCTTATACGAAAAAGAGAATGCAGTTCGGGAAGAGATGCAACTTCTCTGACTTTGACAAAGTAGAAATGGAAATCAAATCAAATCCAGCGTTAATGAGTAATTATGTTAGAACGGATCCCGTGACACACTCTACGCAATGCAGTAAAGTCTATGCTGTTCACGAGGTATAAATAATTTTTAATCGACATTTATGGAAAACGTACAGCAAAGTTGTAATGGATAAAATACATATTTTGTTAAGGTAAATACAACTACTGCGACGTATAAGGACAACAAAATGTTTCATTACGAGGGTGGTTGGCCGAAGGACATAAACATGAAGGATCTAGAACAGACAGTTAGATATAGGCGTAAGATCGAGAAGGATGAACTGTATATTCACACGATGCTGCAGTTGCTACCTGTAAATATCTGTAGACGAACTCTTGTCGGTTCTCTTAAAACTATTGGACCTACCTAAACATTCTTTTCAAGTCGATGGAGCACTGTATTTTGCAAAACAACGCTTGCAACATTTACGAAGAATACTTCGCCGACGTGGAGGCGACCCCGCTGATACAAAGAGCATTCTCGCGTACGGTGAACGTTTATCGCGATCCTTTAACGATGAAACGGCAGATTACTCATCTGTCGTGGTCGCCGGACCAGGGTAATCGTTTTGCAGCCAGTTATTGCAACGTAGACTTCAAAAAAACCTCCAGCAATTATACGTCGTACATCTGGGAAGTAGGTGCGTTAAGTAAGCGTGGGATCGAGGTTGATTAATTGTTGATCGGCATATTTACGAAGAACATTTTCGTAGAAAATCCGAATAATCCTTACATAACACTAAAACCCTTCTGCCCGATTTTGACATTGGAGTACAACCCCAAAGACAGCAACACCTTGGTAGGTGGTCTGATGACTGGACAGGTGGCATGCTGGGACATTAGGAGAGGGTCAGAAATGGTAGATACCAGCTCGGTCGAGTTTAGCCACAGAGATCCCTGTGACAAAACCCTGTGGATTAATTCCAAGACTGGTACCGAGTTTTTCAGCGCCTCGAAGGACGGACAGGTGTAATCTCGCACAAAATCATGATCACCGCATCGATGATGAGTCTGCATGTCGTTTGTTTGTAGATAAAGTGGTGGGACACCAGAAAGCTGCAGATTCCCACAGAGACTTTGGTAATAGACTTGCTGAAACCGGAGGATCAGAATGTGGACAAAGCTACCGGCATTTCGGCTCTTCAGTTTGAACCTTCGATAGGGACACGTTTCATGTGTGGCTTGGAAAACGGTATAGACCAATTTATCATCGTTGAGCGAACTGCATATTTAGATGTAACTTGATGAAACATGATAATCACACTTTGACATGACTTCATCCTAGTGTATATTATACAAGAAATTACTCCACCAAACTATAAAGTAAAAAGAGATTTTGAGTGATTGAGCAATTTTTCAAAAAATTTGAATGTTTTGTAAGTAAAACAGTGACATCGAGAACATGAAAAATTACAAAAAGAGATAAGAAAAATTATTTGCTCAATATCGGATTATTTTATAAGTAACATATAAAAATGCAGTCGATAAATATTGCATAAAGCCTATCTTAGACGATCTATAATTTGTGTTTAAATTCGGAATAATTTTACTTATAATTTTATGCACCGTATAATATGAAAAACATTTGAAGAATCGGAATATACACACCCATATACATATATTTAAGTACGCGATTAAGTAAAAGTTGTACAACTTGATATAACTTTTAAATAGAATTCTAAGCTGAACTCAACGAGTAATTATTCGATAATAATGAACTTAATTATGAACTTTTACGAGAAAGAAAAAAAATAGATAATGTAGTGATGACAATGAGAATAGTTTTACCCTTTAGGTGTCGTAATATCAGGGAACCGCAAAGGTAAGACGCCCGGTGAGAAGATCGCAACTAGATTTAAAGCGCAGTATGGGCCGGTCATAAGTCTGGAAAGAAACCCGACATTCGTAAAAAATTTCTTGACGGTCGGTGATTGGACCACGAGAATTTGGTCAGAAGATTGCAGGGAATCCTGCATAGCTTGGACGCCGTAAGCTTAGTGGGATAATAGGAAATTCATTTAGGAAACCTTTGGCCTTGCTATTCATTGTCAATTTTTTCAGCGGACACCGTGATTTTTTAACCGGTGGTGCTTGGAGCGCTACGCGTTACTCCGTGTATTACTTGATCAAAGTTGATGGGACTTTAGATGTGTGGGATTTTCTAATTCAGCAAGACAGTCCGGTTCTTAGCATAAAGGTATTTAATTAGGCTATTGCTTATCGATAATAAATTTTAACGATATAATCCATTCGAAGGTCTGCGACGAAAGCTTGACCTGTTTACGACCTCACGAGCAGGGTCAACTGGCTGCAGTGGCGAATAAAAAGGGTTCGACTTATCTGCTCGAATTTTCGGAAGCTTTGACGATCAATCAAAAGAACGATAAATTGCTATTAACCGCGGTAAATATCAGATTAATAAAAAATTAATTTTTCTGCCCACTATCATAAAAGACATATAAAGAATAGAAGAAGAAACTGAGTATTTTATTATTTCCATATCAATCTCTAACGACATATCTAATTAATGATAAATAATTATTATTCTTATTGCTATACATGATAACATGTTACAATTACATAATTATACATTTTTAATACATCCTTAAAAGCTTAATAAAAAAAAATTTTAAATCCAACTTTATAGGCTGTGATATAATAAGTGAGATATAATAAGAAAGATATAGTTTATTTCCAATTTATCTCTCAAACGTATTGCGCAAAATATTTGCACGAATTTTCGCTTCCGGCATTATAATTTAATACAGTATAGTAACACTATTCACATTGTTTCTTTAGCTTTTCGATCGTGAGACGCGCCGCGAAAAAGTGATAGAAGCGAAAAACAGAGAACAACGATTGAAAATGAAGACCTTGAAGACGCACGGTGAATCAGATTTTACCGATATTTCCGCAAAACCAGATGAACGAGAAGATTCTAAAGAATTTTCCGGCGATTTGAAGAATGCATTGATAGTGCAATGCGAACAGGAATACGAAAATATGATTAATGCGGTAAGGGGATTTTGCGTTACTGAAAAATATCTAATCAACTCCGCGCAGATACATTTTCAAATATCGATTATTATTGCACAGGAATTAACGCGACAAGCGGAAGAAGCAAATACCGTTGAGCTAAATAACAACGTGATGCAGAATGGTGCGATTATAAGTTAAAATAATTATATGTAAGTTGTGATTTAATGATGAATGATGTGATTTAATTAGGAATAATTAATATAAGATATTTTAGCCAGCCTTAGTTGAATTATTACAGTATAAGTTGTAACAAATAAACATTCTAGGAGAAAATAGTTTGTATTTCGTTAAAACAGCTAAAGAACCAAACGTATGTTAAAATAATATATTTGCATTTTTAAAATTAATATTGTCAATTATTTTACGTCATTTTCTTTATACATGCATTCCATATAGAAAACGCGAAGTCACGTTTTGCCTTTTCCATCTTGCCTTTTTTTCTTTAATTTTTACCTAAACTTTTCTTGCGCTCTTCGTCCTTTTTACCTTAGCGTTTCCTTTATTTTGACTCTCCTTTTTTTTCTATGTTTGTTTCCAGACGATTGGCAGAGACAGAAGTAGGCGGTGCCTCAAGATAACGGATAGTTACATAAAACATCTCTTTTAGATCTTTTGCTAGCAATACTTGGCGAATTTTAGTCACGTTAGCTTGTTTCGTACTTGGCAAGAACACTTCTTGTATTTTTTCTAATTCTGCGTTTTTTGGAATAAAGTTGTTAAATAACGAGGTAAGTGTGAATATGCTGAATCATATTCTATTTCAACGACAAGTCGCAATCTATAGCAACGGAGCGGAAAACTGTGGCTAAAGAAACGCGTTCTTCCATTTTGTCATTTTGTTTGATCGTACAGTAATTTATTTATAATAATATGATTCAAGTTGTGTGTTTAAGCGACTGTGATAGAGTAGGAGAGATGTAACAGTTTTAAAAAGTTCAAAATCTCCATGATTTTCAAGAATTCTTGATTATGAATAATATGCGAAATAATCTAAGATTTTCATCATATTTTTTAACGGATTTCACACGTCTTAAATTAATTCTATTGCTACATTTATTATCAGAAAACTCGTTTTTCTGTTATAAACTTTATGTTTGTGTATCCAATTTAGATATCACGCACTTTTCCGATATAAATATAATAATATAGCGGTCAAATGCTTACAATTCGTAAATAAATATCAAGCCCGCGATTCGCTCAATAACTAAAAATTGTCGTAGCTACTTATTTTGTATTGCACACATGTATCGATTGTTAATTTTCTTCTTAAAAGAATTTTTTTCTTTTTAAGGAATATACGATGTATCCCATGCAGAATTCGCATTTCCCAAATATGCCTGATTTATCGCACTTATGCACTTTGCCGCGACGGAAACAAAGGCGGATAATTGGAGAGTACTTGTATCCGCTAATTTGTAACATGTACCCGAATTTCATGCCTCACAAGCTCACTGATATCCTACTGGATCTCAATTCTATCGGTACATTGATTGATATGATAAATGATCCCACGGTCTTCGCCATGAAACTCGGGGAGGCTATCAACGTGCTCCAAACTTATTTTGCTGTTATGACTTTGTCAGAAAGAACCTGACCCAAACGGTCGAGGAACAATAATAGTCACTGCGATGATTTTTTCATGGTTATATGATTTTACTTAAATTATAAAATGTCTAATCATATTACCCTGATAGCAGAATATAAGTGTGCAAAATCATGTAAATGTGTCGCTGAAAATAATTTATGTATAATATTGTTGCCACAAACATTGTGTAAACATGAATCGTAGCTCTGTTTAGGATTCATACTTTACAGCAAAGATATGTAAATTGTTGCTGCAAACTGTTTGCAGCAATAATATGTAAATTGCTTCCATTAATAATATGTAAACTGTACACCGAATGAAACCTCCAGGCGTAAACTGTTGCTGGGAAAATGTAACGAATAATGAATACCGTTGCTTGAAACAAATTCAATACAATTCCTGAGCATTTGCGGGCGCAGCTTTACATGCAATGTTATTTATGCAAACGCTTGTCAGTTTACGGGCATATTTCATAAATATAACAGGATAGTTATAGTGTCAATCATACTTGTATGCAAACATATATGCACATATTTAAATTAGTGTCTAATTTGTATATATATGCATATTGTTAATAACATAAAGAAAGAATTGTCATACGATTGACTAAATCGTATTTTTTCAAAATTAGCCGAGTCTTGATTGTCAGATAATTATTCTAATACTTTTTTTTATTTTAAATCAATAAAATTGCATTTTATTTTTGTATTTTTTTCTCTTTTCTTTTTTCTCTTTTTTTTCTTTTACTATTCATGTTGTAATTTACTTCTGTTTACTGTAATAATACAAATATGGAATAATCACAGTTTTATTCGCCTGCAAAAGAATCGAAAAGCTTTTTTTTCGAATTATATAATAATGAATATTTCTGGATAGCCACATTTGTAGCGATTAGCATTGGGAAAACGGATTCAAGTTGGTAGAGCTGCAAACACGCACCAATGGAGCAGACAATCGTTTCGCAACGTTTTGCAAATTGCCAGGTTTATCGTGAAAAGTTTATTTTTTATTTTCTCTTCTTACTTTTCCTTTTGCGAAACACATTTCTAAATAAAAGAACCATTAAGGAAGCTCTCAGCTGTCACATATATAAATCACCTTTAACGCTTGGGCCTATTGTCTTCTTCACCGATTTTGACTTTCCAAAAAACTTTTACTTTCGAGTTTCGGGTATATACCTATTTCGCTTTGAGTGGAAAAAACATGTAACAGAGAGAGAGTGTTCGGAGAGCTATTGTGTGGAGCATAAAGAAACAAATATATAATTGTGCAGATTTTTTTACCTCTGGTTGTGCACAAAGCCAATTTGTGTAACCAGGAATTGAAAGGCGATCTACGTTTCGGATCAGAGAAATAAAGGACAGAAATCCATCGCCGTGAAATTATAGTCGTGAAAATTTACTGGAACCAAGTGCTAATGGACCTAATTGCGGAGAGTCTATTCTCAAGAGGGAAAATTGATGGAAGCATTATTTTTCGAGGCAAATATTAAGGAAAACGATCCTGGTAACAATTATTTTTTGTCCCACTTTCCATTTTATCGTATAAACATTTTGCGAATTAAAACGTGTAAGGTTTGTCTGCGCAGAAATTGAAGAGATGCATAAAGAGGGCTTGAACGAGTTCCGACTTCGTGGTCACCCACCGTATCGATCGATCCATGCCTGCGCTGAGCGTAATCAAAAGTACTCCCACACCTGGTGTGCCGCCTGTTAGTAACGCGGTTCTCGCTACACGAAGGACAACGTAGTCAGCGTAGTATTTATATATATCGTGAGTAAAGTTTACATATGCACATGAATGTTAATGAAGATTACAACGAGGACAAAATTATTTTCTTCCAGGGCCGCGATGGTATCACCACGTCCGATGAATTCGCAAGTTTCGTGAGTGATCGATCAGCTCGTACAACTGGAGCACACGCGATGTTCCCTTGCGAGCGACCTTCTTTCTCTTAGCGCGTCCGCCAAAACCATAGTCGCAGAGATGGCCAAGTCCGTCGAGTCGAGGGGCAGGAGATTGAGGAGATCGCGCAATGTGTCCTCTTTCTTGGAGGAGTCGACGGAGAGCGCGATACCGCCGAAGACGACGGTTAACGTCGTCGTGGACGTTCACAACGGAGGTGAGAGTTCGGGCCGGCGGCAACAACAAAGAAACGACACTCTTACGATCGAATCCCCGGACAGTAAGGAGACTAAGCGATCGTCCAAAGCTTCTTCGCGAGCGAGCGAAACGCCTCGGAATCGCTCCTCTGATCGCAGGAGTTCCTCGAAGGATCTTCCCAAACATGATGATTTGATGGTGGAGTCGTTGGATCTGATAGAGGAATTCGACGCGTCGAAAAAGAGGGATGAGTCTCTCGAGGAAAAACCGCGGCGCAGGAAGCAATGGAGCACCGTGGCGAACGTGAATGAAACGGAAGCGGAGAGAACGGACCCGAAGAGGCCACCGCGGAAACGCTGGTCCAAGGATGCCGGCGTGATCCGATTGCCCGAGACAAGCGACGACGCGTCCCCGTTGATCGACGACTCGCGTAAAACCCCGGTACCGGCGCCGCGAACCAGACTGCGACGGAGCGACGTCCTCTTCGACAATCCGGCCTTCGTGTCCGATAACGAGGACGAGGTGCTCCGCATCGAGACCGATCACAAACGGGAGAGCACCAAGATCGAAATGAGGAGGATGAGCGACCGCTCGAACATTGAAGACGTAGACGAGGCTGGGACTACGTCCGGCGACTCTTCGAGGAAGCATCGACGAGAAGAGATGGTGATGAGCAAGCGTCTCGCGGGGGACAGCGACGATCGTTCTTCGAAAGCGAGATCCTCGGGAAGCCGAAGAAACAGCGTTAGAGAACCCGATTCGTCGGCGAGTTTGGAGAGAATCACCGACGTTCGGTCGAGCTCGATCACCTCCGAGGAGCGAGTCTCGAGCAGCCGGAGATCCCAACCGGAAACGACGCGCGATCAATCGTCGAGGAGGAGAGAGCGAGCGTTGTTCAAGAAGAAGGAGCATTCCGGCGACGACGCGTTCGTCAGCTCGTCCGCGAGGGATGCGAATTCGGCGGCAGAGGCAGAGGACGTGAGGGTCAGAAGGAAGAGGAAGAAAAAACGTAGACAGGAAAAGGAGGCAACGAAGGAGAAGGAAAAGGAGATGAAGTTTATCTCTGTGACGATTCACCGGGCGGACGTGCTTGAGGCCAATTACGTGAACGTGAGGCGACCGATGGTCAGGGTTCACATCGTGGAAGCTCGCACGGGCTCGTATCTGAAGAGCACGACGGAGAACAGCAGCGCGTATCTTCAGCCGATGATCACCGGCAAGTTCGACTTCAAGAAAAACAGATCGATGATACCGGTCTGGGAAGAGGAGCTTATTTTCGAGCACAACTTTGACGCGATTATGAGACGCGAGGACGGTGAACAGGTGGTGATCCTCTTTGAGGTGATGGAGCTCCTGAGCTTCGCCGACGCGAGCCTCAGTTATGACAAAATTGGCAAGTTTCTACTAAGATCTCATAAGAATATTATGTAGTTAGTTAGTTTAAAAAATATTAAGAGTGTATATTAATTCTATTATTGAGAGAGAGAGAGAGAGAGAGAGAGAGAGAGAGAGAGAGAGAGAGACCTTTTTATTGAAACTTTACATTAAAGAGCTTTTTTTCTTTTTTCCTATGAATTAATTATCCGAATTACGTTAAGTAATTAATATAAGATACATTTTAGGGAAACACTGGGCAATAGAAATGCCTTCGAATGTAAGATCGATCCAAAAGTAATTACTATATAAATCCTCAGGAAAGAAAGTTTGCTAATATTACTTTAGAAAATAAAATGTCAGCATATTTTAAATAGATTACTTGATTGTAAATATCATTGATAATATCCATTGCAACATTTAATGACTCTTACAATTTTGTAGTTTGACGATGACCTAGAATTTTACATATTTTCGCTTGCAAACATCATGTAAATTTAATAATTTGGGTCTGGTATTTCAGGTAGCGAGGGATGTTGGAACAAAATCGCCTGGGCATTTCTCAAACCCGTAGGCATCAATAATACTTTTCATACTGGCAAGAAGGTGCGACTGCAGCTTTATAAACCCAGGCGAAGCTTTAAAAAATACGGAAGACAAAAATGCGAGGTATTCATGACTCCTTAATTATTCAAGCGAATTTTCAGTATTTAAAAGTTTTCGGAATTGCCATTTAAACTCCTTAGAACTTTCATAAAAATTGCATATGCATGTGTTTGCATTCCACTTTGAATAATTTACTATAAATTACAATTTCTAGTTCTTTGTTGCAGTTACGCTGGATTTTTTATTAAACATTGTTAAAATATTCCCGTTTTACCGTTTAATAAGTGAGTGTGTTTATAATGCATTTCTGTGTACATATATTCCGCATTTCCCATGAAAACGCAGTCTTTGTCGTCTTTGTGGCAGAAATTTAGCTAATCCGTTGAATGAACCAGGAAGAAAGCGACAGACATTGAATTATATTGCCGACTGTAATAGACTATAATTTAGCGTGATACATAACTCTAAAGAAAAGGATCGTATAACTTTCTATTTGCGGAATGCAATTTTTACTTTTCCGCAAAACTAACATAGCAACGGAGTAGATTCTTTTCGGGGTGATTTACGCAGAGTTTTGCAACAATACCAATATCGCAGAAAGTTTTATTCATTTCTTTCGTCTCGTATAGGTTTTTACCTGGTGGCAGTCGAACAACAGGGACAAGTATCCCAGCAGTCTTTTGGTCACGGTGACATCAGTTCCACCACCGAAACTCGAGCCTGTACTTTATCAAAAGCTGCCGATAAACGATCTCCTTGATGATGCACGAAAGGACTCGCGGGATCTTTCGAAATGTACATCGGAATCGATAGGTCTCCCCAAATGGGCGCGATTAGCCGCTCAGTCTTGTAAAATCCCAAACGAGAAGATGTTCGAGACGGAAGTGAGCGACAAAGGTTGCTTCTACGTCGCCTTCAGCAACGACGGCAAGTATCTGGCCTGCGTCCATTCCGAGGAGTACTATTACCCGATTGTCGTTTACGAGGTGCGTCAATATCGCAGATACCGCAAACAAATATCGCGTCTAAACGAGAGGAGAGTGAAAGAAAGATGTGATAATTAAGTTTCTGTAAGACAAGGTCGTAAAATTCAGTAACAATATGATTGCAATTGAAAATTATTGTCGTTTGTTTCACTGATTGTAATAAAGTAGTTATTGTTACTTCGATTTCAGGTCGAAACTTCAGGCAAGATTCGCGTTCGATTTCTCGGCCACAAGAGTTTCGTGTACTCTCTAAACTGGTCCAGCGACGATCATTGCCTGTTGTCGGCGTCCGCGGATCAGACCGCATGTATCTGGGATGTTCGCAATCAGATCGTGCAGCACATCGAGGTAACTGACCACACGGAACGAAAACTTCTAATAAATGTCGAGCAGACCTACTATAGAAATTCAAAGCCTTTATTGCCGTCCATATAACTTCCCATGGATGTCTACTAAATATCTGTAGGTCTTTTGGTACTTCCATTTACTTCATATTCGTGTAAAATCTTTTGTGAAAATCATGAAAAAATATAATTAACTAAAAATTACGAGAAATATTATAAATTTTTCTAAATATACACAAAATTTATTGAAAATTTTAAATAATTAACGTATAGAACTCGATTTTAAGAAACTTGTATAAATTTAAACATGTAATTCTATCATATTCTTTTATATCTAATATCCTTCTAATATAATCTAATTTTATATCTAGTAGACTTCTATAACGGATCGTAGATGTTTAATGGACTTTTATAATGGGTAGTTGTGTAATGGACATTTATCAAGATAACATGAATTAATTCAATAAACATCCATGGAGATGAATTATGGAACTATGAAGGTTTTATGAACGTTATGTTGTATGTGATTCATTCATGTTTATCCGTTTTAAGATTAATGATATTAATTTTTAATTAATCATGAACTTTTTAATTTTCTAAATATCTAACTAAGTAAAATCGTGCATCTTATTAGCAACAATAATTGCGTATTTAACATATTTTAGCGCTATTTTTTTCTATTAAATATTCTTATACATAATTAAAAAGACGCACCAAATTAAGTAAAACTGTTTAAAATATAACGCGACTGTCTTTAAAATGTATCATGCGTTAAAGAAAATATTATATAAAATAAATGTACACAAAACAAATTTATTGCAGATGCTGCCACATCCTTCGTATGTTTATTGCGCCAAGTACGGGCCCGGCAATGCGACGCTCGTGGCAACTGGATGTTACGATCGAGTAGTTCGCATCTGGGCGGACGACAGGAGGTCAAGGAAGCGAGAACTGAACCAGGAATTGGAAGGCCACGAGGGTTTCGTCAATTCTATGGTATTTCAAAAGAACGGTAACTTGATTACTGCCGACAGCGTGGGACTGATCATCCTTTGGACGATCCGCAGAGACAGTAGGATACCGTCAAAGAGGACGGGATGCATCTCGAGGAAGATAAAAATTCGCGAGATCGAAGGCGTCGTTATTAACACGATTGTTTTACATCCTCTCGAATCTAGACTCCTCGTGCATTCGAGAGACAACGGCCTGCGAATGCTAGATCTCGCGACCGGGGTGATTTTGCAAAAGTACAAACGATTTAACAATCAAAGGCACGTTGGATGAACATATTTTATGCATTTTTCATACTCGCGTTTTTAAGCATTGCAATTAAGTTTTTTTATACATCCTAAATAATATACGAAGACAACATTCAACAATACCGAATTTTTTTTCTTTTCTTGTTGCCTTCTTCCTACTTTCTTTAACTTCGTGGCATTTTTTTGCATATTTATTTCTTCTCTTTACTTTATTTCCTTCCATTTTGCTCGTTTTTACTTCATCTCTCCTTGCTTCTTTTTTTTATCATATATCTCGACGTTGCTATTTTAATTTTAATTTATTGTCCACTGTACATTCTTTCGTAATTTTTTTTTACCTTCCTTTTACCTTTCTCTATTCACACCATTTTTTTACGTGAACATATCAAACCCTCTAAATCTCTGTCACACATACTTGTTTCATCATTACCGCCGTTCTTCTCATTCTCCCCCTGTCCCCCTGTATGGCCTACGCATTGGTTCATTTCTTATATAATAAAAATTTGTGTATTTATTAATTCGATTTATTGAATCTTTCTTCTTTCTTATTTATAGAATACAATTGAAAGCCTGTATATCTCCCTGCGGTGGATTTGTTATGTGCGGTAGTGAGGATTCCGTATTGAATATCTGGAATTTGGAGACAGGTAAACACGTAGCTAGGTACACGAACGGTGGGCGTAGCTCGGCCAAGACAATTGTTACCTGTGTGGATTACCATCCCTACGATCACGTTTTGGCATACTCGATATTCGGCAGTCCCACGTCGGTGCGTGTTCTAAAACACAACAAAAACGCAAACGGCAGCGACGTTGGACTACATCTTACGGAAGACACGTCGCAAACTCGGGGTAACGAAGTGATCCTGAATGCCTTGAGCTGTCCTCCATCTCGTCAAAGTAAACCCAGCACAGCAGGGACAAAAGAAATTCCTTTATCTCGTCATCCCACAACCGAACACACGATAATACAAATTGAAAATAATGATCACGAACCATGGATGACGTCGCACCACTCGAGAGAAATGGAGCGAAACTGGAGAAAGAAGAGCTGGGATCGACTGCACTCCATCATCGAGAAGATCGACTCGATACTGTTCGGCAATTCAATGTTTTTCGACGACGTCGCTGAAGCGAAACGGAGTGCCAGCGCGAACGAGCGCGATGGTTTCTGGACCAATGCGTCCGACAACGTCGTTCTTCAACGAGATATGCGCCTCGAAGATCGCGTCGCAAACTCCACGAGATCCCACGACGGTTCCCTCCGAAATAGCAATACGCAGTCCAGCTTCACGACCGCATCCAAGAGTCCGGGTCATTCATTCAATTTTCACTCGGCAGGTGCACTCAAAAAAACAAACACACCCGAGTTGTCGCATATAAGCTCCCCGGATAGCGCCGGTACCTATATCGTTGAAATGTCGAATTTCAATAAAAACGTCGAGGTTGCTGCCGTAGCCGAGGAGATGGATTCCGTCCAGGTAGTTGGAAGCGACAGCTCACGGATCAGCAATGTTACATTCCTCATAGAAAATGAGCGAGCATAAGTGATACCTCTATTTTTTGCAATGGCCCTTTCAAAATTACTATTTTTTTCTTATATTGGCCTCGCATTAACACGACGATGTTCGATCTTCAATCGTATCATATAACAACTTCACAACATTATTAATTTTATATTATTAATAATATGTAAAGGAATAAAATGCGTGCGGAAAAAATTATTACACATAAACTTTATTTTATACGCTGTAACTTTAGTTGCAGATCAATAAAAAAAATAAAAATATTCATTACAAATCAACTTCGTGAGAATTTCTAACGACACGCTTACAGATGGCAAAAAAGTAAATTATTCCAATCCAGGAAGCGACTAATCATAAATGTTCAATGTGTGTGTATGTGTGTGTGTATGTGTGTATAGATATATATATATATATATATATCAATGTACATGTGCATATATAGAAACTATACATATAGATGTATATATTTTTATTTATAGATATATGGAATGCTGTCACTTAATTAATATATTACACAGCCAATCTTTTGTCGTTAGACAATCATACTGTTTCGTTTAATATCATGAAATAACCCTGCGAGAAGTTAATCAACGACAAAAAATTAAAAGAGACACAACATAATGTCGTTAAAGAATACTTGACATAAAATTAATGTCTTCAAAAAAATACAACAAAATTATAATAAAACTTCTTTGTAAATAAACTGCACTTAGTTACAACTTTTAACGATAATTACATTTTTATATGTGATAACAAAAACGTAATTAACAATAATAACGGTAAATGTTAAAGACTATCGCGTGTAATCACAAATACGCCTTTTTAAACGAGTAAGAACAAAAGCTTCTTTGATAAGTTAAGTCCCGCTATGTGCGTATCATTTTGCTCGTATCTCTGATACTTAAAAAAAAAAGAAAATTTTCAAGTAACAAAACTAACTGGAGATGAATTCAATTAACGTAAACCTTAAATATTCTTTCTTATTCCTTTATAACGCTCACGTGCGCGCCAATGCATCACCGTGCCGTTACGGAAAAAAAAAATAAAACCTTAGAAACACTTTCATGCGTTAATCCTCTCACAACAGGTTCGTAGTGCATGTATAAGCGATCTATTATCACGGCATCGTAGAAGGATAACAATAACATAATCGTAAAGAAAATAAAAATATTTCTGTCAACCGACTAATGTAACGAGCTAAGGAGGGAGACCCTCAAATCCTTCGATGTATTTGGCACGATTCTCTTCTACCAATAGTCTATCAATGTATATGTCTTTATCGGTACTAACGTCAATCAATCGTAAACCCAGCATGGTACCATTGACAGGCGACAGATGATCGAACACGGATTCGACGATTACAGAGACAAAATTCTTCTCAAGCACTAGTTTCTTAAATTCAACGCAATCGTTCACTGTCCAGTCGACATTTATTGGCTCTATTCCTAAACAATGTTAAAAGTTATTATTAGAACTCCTTGCAAAGAATTGATACAAGTGTTTAAGCTGAAAGACACATTTGTGAAGAAAAAAAGACGCTTTTCTCTTACCGACGAGTTTAGCCTTTACTGCCTGATACGGCAATTTCAAGAATTTGCTCTTCAACGGCTGCAAACTGCTGCGGGATATTATCGTCACGTCACCGTAGTCGCAGAAATATACGGATACTTCATTATCGCTGATAATATTAGTAACGTATACTCTAAAGTGAATAAAATATTGTTATTAATCGTTGTTATTAACCCGTTTTTCATTTACATTGTAAAGTTATACAAGTTGCATACCTGTACCAATCATTTCGAAATTTTCCCGCGTAGAGTTTGTTTTCGCCGACAGATTCCAAAGGCAGATTATCGTTCGCTTCATAACAGTTTTGCAAATCGACCATCATTGCCTGAAAATGAGAAGATCCAGCATAAGAATATATTTCATCAATTAATTAAATTTCTACATACACTTGAAAAGTGCCTATTAACTTTTACGTACTTTTAATTCATTTGCATCGTTTAACGGTTGCACGATAAAATGTCCGGGATGCGCGACCAATGCGACGTGGACGTCAAAATACTGGCCGATGTCGGAAATCACTGGTGGATTCAATTTGCCGACGGCCTCAGGAGCGCGAGAAGCCTTGCGATCCAAACGTTTCTTGGACTTGGTATTGTTGTTGGCGTCTTCGTTGACTCTGTACATAGAAGCTTCTTTAGTCAAGTTCATAAAGTTAGTACAAGGTTATAAGAGCACAAAAACTTATATAAATGAAGTAAACAATATATAGTTGTAAATATATATATATAGTATAAAATGTAAAATAAAAAAATATATAAAGACATAAAGAACGCGCATAGAAATAGATACGGTCCATTTTGTTAAAAAATAGGCAAAAATTTACTTCGACAGTTCGCCGTCATAAATCAACGATGAATTTATCGAGGCCAACATATTGCTCGGAGCGACTCTTTTGAAAATTTCGACCACTGGAATTCCAGATGGGGTGATCCTGATGACTTTTGCTAAGAGTAAATCCATGTCCGAAACTAATTCACGAAATCGTGTTACAAGCTTCTTGCTGTACTTCGATTGGTCAACGTTGTGCAGAAAGATCTGTATCGCCTGATTTTTCAAACAAGAACACATGTCAGTTTTATAATCGCAATATGTAAAAAAAAAAAAACACTGAATCTAAGTTCAAAAAGAAAAAGTTTGCTTTTTTTTACCTGCGGAGGGATGTGCTGCAGAGCCTTCGAGACTCTGTCCATGTGAAACAGATTTTCCCTCGGTATCAAAATGGTTCGACCAATATCGATTAGAAATACCATTACTTCCTGGTCGCCAGGAATATCGGTCACTCTTGCCCTGTACCACTGCGAATTCCACTTTACAAGGTACATTTTCGTGAAATTAATCGCATTCACCGTCATCGTTTTGTTCGTAAACATTTGCGACATGTTTTCACCGTTTAGTACAGTTTTAGCGAGCGAGTTTAGCTGCGCATAAATTTTACCGCACTCATCTATGTGCGTAACGGACAATTCGGTCACCTGCCCCGCCTGCGGTAAACCGCCAATGCACATAAGTAAAAAAAAAGAATCTCAATAATAGAGAATTGTAGTAATAAATTAAATGACAATTACATGCATCTTGAATGCACCAGCCATGCTCTCCAAGATTTTTTCGAATAAGAGTTGATTTATGTCGACATCTTCGTCGTCTTTGCTGGTGTCGTAAAAAGTCACCATGTGTACGTATGAGCCGTATTCATCGGTGTCCATACCATGTACTTTCACATAAAACAATCGATCGACTATAAGAAGATTTTCAATTTCCGGCACTATCTGGGTGCAGTCGCAGAAGTCCTTCAATCCTTGAAGACCTACTCTGATAGCCTATAAAGTAAAAAACGCGCGTAATGAGATGCAATCGGATTAATATACGGCTAAATCAAACAGATGAATTACTTGACGTGGAAGAACGCAAAATTTCTTGTCCAAAGGATGCAAAACTTCAGATTTGTAATGTTCCTCATAACCCTCGTCAATAAAGAAAACCGTGGCGATTCCGGTCTCGTCATTAAAATCTGTGCATTCAACTCTGTGCCAATAGTTATCCTCGAAAACGGCATAGAAATCGTCGACTACGCATGCCACTGGCGAGATGGGTTCATTTACTTGATTGTAGTGCCTTGTCATTTCGTTTATCATATCGACAAACTCGTTCTAGAAAGTAAGACGACTTTTAGCTGGCGAAAAGATAAACGAAAGATAAAAGAAAAGGCGAATGGATAAACGAATACGATCGGACACTCACATTTTGATCGCCGAGTCGAACCCAAATTTCGACGGTGTTCACAACGTGAGTAGTACACACTTGCCAAATGGTCGTTTCAGGTACTGGTAATACATCCGGTGCGGCAGGTCCAATCGGGCTCAATAATATCTTCTCGTTAGGCGGGTAGATATTCTCGGAAATATTTTTGGATGGAGTGGAATTGCTTTCCGACCGCTAAAAAAAAGAAATATAAATGTTTACTTCGATCTGCGCGATCGTCGAAACAAAATACACACGCATATTGTATATTACTTTCAAACTCGGGAAGGCTCGACACAGTATCATGGAATCTCCGACGCCTTTCTCTTGATTTATATCTGAGCATTTCTCAATGATAATTTCCCAATTAAAGGGCAAGGCCTCCCCATATTGTTCGTTGTAATATTCAGGTAGTAGATGCATAAAGACCCCACTCGGATGTCGAGATATGATGTTCAAAATGCGTTCTTTCATCAAATCCGTATCGACGGTCGTCACCTCGGGGCTAGACGATTCCTTAGCCAGATTTAGCAGAGCTAATCGTGCAGCGATCTTCTCTGCTTCCTCCTCGGACGCTGCGTCATCCGGAAATGTGTGGAACGTATGCGTACCAACCTGTAAGATTCACCGATCAATGTAGAAAATCTTTGTAATCATCGATCAATGTAGATAATCATTGTAATTCATCATAAATCAATGTAAAAAATTGGATCTTGCAATATTATTCAATAAATACAATTCGATCAATGTATTTACTTTCACGCTGGCATAGATGGTGATCTTGGAAGAATTCTTTTCCTTCTTTGAATACATTTTATAAACCGGTGATGGTAAGTTTAGCACACGAGCATAAATCTCCAGCTCTTTCCGAGAATCGGGAGCCTCTAATGGCGGTGCTACCTGTAAAAGCAATAAAATATTATGAAAGAAACTCGCGCACCTGTGGAGTTTCATCAAGGCCGAGAAGGGACTCGAGAAAAAAAGCTCTTTTTTGTTTTATTCTCCCCCCTTATTAAAAAAAAAAGAACCAAGTTATACTATGGTTGCATTCCGATATTCACTGTCAGTACTGAAAATCTATATTTTTCTGTATACGTTCTATATTTTAGTTCACGTATACTATAGACTTTCATATTATTCGTATTATATAGCTTATAATTATACTTTATACATCAACATTTCAACATGAATCATTCTGGTGTTCTTACCTGCGGGACATTAAAAATGGATGGGGTAGGCGTAGATGTACGACCATTGGTGTAGTTATCAATCGGCGTTTCAGAAATAATTTTGAGCCTTTCGCTTAGTTTTGGAGGTCTCAGTTCCACAGTCTTTGGCTTTTGATTTATCACAGACGAAGCTGCTGTATTGTCATTTAATACTTTGAATCTTAAATCTTCAATAGTCTTACAATTATTAACACTTTGGTTCACAGTCGCTATACAGGGATTTGTCACTTTATCTTTCAGTCTCTACAAATATCGTAATGTGATTAATAAATGATGCAGATTTCAAATCTGCAAGAATATCAAATCATTTGGAATTTGCAGACTAAACGTGCACTCACTTTAGTGGGAGAACTTGGTGGCGTAAGCGGCACGAAGCTTGGTTTAAAGTTATTTTGCGGTAGCGGTAACGGGTACTGTACTACAGACTCCATAAGAGGAATAGGTCTAAAATATTGCAAATATATAAAATTACTTATTATCTTACGCGGCATATATTAAGTAATTTTAATCGACTAATCAATTCATACGGAAAACTTATAATTAAATCAGGAATAGAGAACAACGTGTCAAGTCGTACTTAAATAAATAAAAATAAATAAAAAACAACAGTACTTATTGGTACTTATTATCGAGATGTTATACTTTTTTACTTTAATAAACAACGCGGAATTTTAATATTACAAGTACCTGCTAAAATCTGTGTACAGGTTACTCTTTTCGGGTGTTGATCTAGTAAAGGAATGTGGAGAATTAACGTAATTACTCCTGGTAGGCTGAAAACGACCGCTGAAATTATTACTTTTAAAAGCAGGCGGATGAAAATTTCTCGCATGTCGAGGTGGGCTCCACTGAAAAAGAGATTCTATAATTAATTATAGTACAGAAATAGCTGATATGTTGGAGTTTTAACATTAGAGCAAGCATAAAATAACAGTTTTTCAACAATTTGATACAACGTACGCTACAAAACACATTCGGATCAGATAATGTTTTTAATAGATATTTAGTGAAATGGTCAGTATATATGTGTATGTGTGGCAGCAATTACTTTCTAGAAAATACAAAGTACTAGTAAAATGATTACTTTTTTCGGCTGCGGTCGTACTTTTCGTCGTGTCTTTTGCCGCGAAACTAATTTTGTAAGGTGCGCCGAAGTCTTGGAAGGTAAAGCTTCCACATACAGTTCTCCACCTTTTCTGTTCACTGTGATGTCTGGTATACTACGTACGAAAGCTTCAAGAGAGGAGTATCCAAAATGATTAAATGATAATGGCTCCCCTGCTATCGTACGGTAATCCGCTACAAAATAAAAATCGTAAGATTCTTATGTCAGTCTTTAAGAATGATTGATTAGTAAATAAAGCGAAACACAGAAATAGTTACGAAGACATTAGCAGAGTGTATTAAAGCTTAAATAACTGTATTTAAAATTGCTTCGTAATAACAGAGAATTGATAATATTTACCTCTTAAATTATCTAACCTGATACCGCCCTTGCACGATATCAGGCATGACCTTAAATTCTTTACGACTTCGTCTTGATCCATGGTGATTCTCTCTCATAAAAGAAAGAACACAGGTAGAAGACAGATATTTAAATATCAGTTAGGTTACTCGATAACCTGCAACAGATTTAAATAAATATTAAATTACTTATATAATTAAATTATATGATAAAACATGAAGCTCTCTATGTTCATAAGATTCTCGAAAAATTCCCGAAGGCAACAAGAAACAGAATTTTCTGAAGAAAACAACAAGAAACCAAGCGATAAAGAAATCAACTGTGGTATAAACAAAGGTAGGAGAACATGTATTCGCAGAGAGAGAAAGTGATCTTTTAAAATACACATTTTGTTAGATTAATCCTCATATAGGGGAACGGGGGGTAGCTCCGGACATTATTGAAATTCAAGTATAACGCGTATCTAT